AACAATACGGAATTTATTGCGGCAATATTCTCAGCCAGCGCTGTCTGGCAGCACTGACAGACAGTACTTCGGCAGCGCCAGACGGCGTTATCATCCCAGTGCCATGCCAGTGCTGGCTCTCAGCCTTGCCGCCAGTGCTGCCAGTGCTGGCGCAGTACTACGCCAGTTGTAAATTTCCCATTGGGTCACTACGATCATATTCTGAACGGCGGAACGAAAGGAACTGATTTGGATAAACGCGCGAAGTTTCAAAATGATAGTAAACATTGAAAAAAATTTCTTTCTTTGATTTAAGAGATATTACTAATAAATCATATCTTTTACCTATAGAAAACGTTTTTTTACAACAATGTAATCAAAAATTAGAAATTTATAAAACCTAAAACCTCCTAAAACTTTTTCGATTAATAAAATAAATATATTTATTTAAATAAATATTATTCAAAGCTAAAAATCAGTATTTTACTTAGAAAAATAAATTTGAATAAAAATTTTTTAAACAATTTCATGTAAAAAAAATCTGTCCGCGCTTCGCGCGGGGGCTCGCAAGTTTCAGCGCGCCTCAGGGCGCGCGAATATTAATCGTCGCGCTTCGCGCTCCGTGTGTTGTTGCGCGCAAATGGCTCGCTTCGCTCGCGGTGTTCTGCAATTATTGTGCATTATTATATTGTGTTCTTGTTCTTGTTTCCTATTATATGTTTCGTAAAACATTTTTTTTTCTTAAAGTTACTACGACTTTAAGGATTACATTCTCATCACATGTTTTTTTTGCTGATGATTGCGAGATTAAAAGCATTTAAATGTATATTTTTGGTCTTGATGATTAAAATTGTGAAGTTATTTTCAATTCTACTAACTCTCTTAGCAGAAACTTGATTTGCAGAAGCAGCTAAAATATTCTTAAAGTATTAGTATTCTTATAAGTTTTTTGTGTAGTGTAGACCGGAGCGTAATGGCTAACTTTTCACTCTTTGTTGATTTACTCGGACATCTCCTAGAAAAGATACTCTGGTATCTCAGCTTTATTTAAAAAAAACGATTTTTTTAAGAGAACGTCCACTGAGATTAGACAAAAAGTCAAAAATTCGAAAAAACTTTTTAAAAAAATTAAGTTTTTCAAAAGTTATCGTCGGAACAAAGTTTTTGTCTACGGACAGACAGGCTTACAGACAGACGTAATCGCCGGACCATGTTCTTTGAGCTGTCCAACGAACTCAGGCTTCATTTTAATGGACTAAAAAAGCACCCCAAATTGCAAGTCGATTCATTAAAATTTATTCGAGTTATCGTCGAGACAAAATTTTCTACAGACAGACAGACAGACACTTCTCTAAAAACCATTTTTTTGGAATCAGGGGGTCATGAAACGTGAAGATTTATCAAAATTAGATATTTCTCAAAATCGCACAAATCCAAGACTTTCACATTTTTGACGAGAATGTAAAAAACAAATATTACGAAAAAATTAAAAAACAGCAAAATTTTCGGATATTTTGAGTTCTTTTTTGTTCCTAATTTTTTATATTTACCTAAATTTGGCATCTAAAAGAAAAAAATGAAAGTTTTGACATTTTTTTAATGTTTTTTAATGTTTCGGCTAATGCTTCACTCACTATAAATCTCAATTTTTTGCACTTTTTGGAAAAAAAATTCATATCTTTTTTGTTTTTTGTTGTACAAAAAAGTATCTTAAAGAAAAGTTGTTTGTTTTTGTACAAATTTTAAGAAAAAAATTAGAAAAAAATATTTTTTTGAAAATTGTCAAAAATTCAAAATTTTGAAAATTTAAAAATTTAAAAAAAATTGTTAACTTTTTTGTTTTTTGTTATCCAAAAAAGTGTCTAAAGGAAAAGTTGTTTGTTTTTGTACAAATTTTAAGGAAAAAATTAGAAAAAAATATTTTTTTGAAAATTGTAAATAATACAAAATTTTGAAAATTTAAAAGTTTTGTATTTTTGTCGTTTTTTGACGAAATGAGCTGTCCAACGAACTCAGGCTTCATTTTAATGGACTAAAAAAGCACCCCAAATTGCAAGTCGATTCATTAAAATTTATTCGAGTTATCGTCGAGACAAAATTTTCTACAGACAGACAGACAGACAGACACTTCTCTAAAAACCATTTTTTTGGAATCAGGGGGTCATGAAACGTGAAGATTTATCGAAATTAGAAATTTCTCAAAATCGCAGAAATCCAAGACTTTCTCATTTTTGATGAGAATGTAATAAATAACATGAACAATTAATTTTGATTAAAAATTAATTATTATTATATTTAGTAGAATATAAAAAATAAAAAAGCAGAAAACAAATAGAATTAATGCTACAATCAATTATACTAAGAAAAATAAAATAGACAATATTTTCCCGTTTTTCTAAAATAATTAGAAAATTTACTTTTCAGACCAATTAAAATGAGATTCTAACTCCTCCTACTTTAAGAAAGCAATTTTTTTATTCCTTGGTTCAACAGTACAAAAAGGGAGAAAATATTTAATTTTTAAATAGTTACATTTAGTCTTAACTCATTAAGAAAAAAAAGACTTCTGGCCAATAAAAATAAGCTCCTCCTATTTTCAAAGTGCAATTTTTTATTTGTTGGTTGAGTTAAAGAAAATGGAGAAAGTAATTAATATTTGAAAAATAACACATATATTACCAACCCCCAAAGAAAAAATGGATGATTTAGACCAATAAAAATAATAAACAAACTCCTCTTATTTTCAAAATCAATTTTTCTATTTGTTGGTTGAGTTAAACAAAATGGAGAAAAAATTAATATTTAAAAAATAAATCATATAATTCCAACCCCTAAAAAGAAAAATGGATTCAAATACAATTTAAACTCCTCCTTCTTAAAGAAAAATATGTTTTATTTGTGGCTTCAATAGAACAAAATGGAGAAATTATTAATATTTAAAAAATATAAAATTTAGTCCCAACCCCCAAAAGATAAAATGGATGTTTAAGACCAATTTAATTAAAATTTAAACTCCTCCCTTTTAATAAAAACTATTTTTCATTCGTAGGTTCAAAAGAACGAAATGGAGAAAATAAAAACTTAAATTTAAACTTTAAAAAATATAAGTCTCAACCCCTCACGAAAAAAAACTGCTATTAGCCAATAAAAAATCAAACTCCTCCTAAATTTTTATTTCGTTCTTTTGAACCCACGAATGAAAAATAATTTTTATTAAAAGGGAGGAGTTTAAATTTTAATTTAATTGGTCTTAAACATCCATTTTATCTCATGGGGGTTGGGACTAAATTTTATATTTTTTAAATATTAATATTTTCTCCATTTTTTTTATTGAAGCCACAAATAGAAAAAAGGTTTCTTTAAGAAGGAGGAGTTTAAATTTTATTTTAATTGGTCCAGGACATCCATTTTTTCTTTTGGGGGTTGGAATAGTATGTTTTAAATTTAAATATTTAATTTTTTCTCCATGTTGTTTAGCTCAACCAACAAATAGAAAAAAAGCTTTGATTAAGAAGGAGGAGTTTAAATTTTATTTTACTTGGTCTAGAACATCCGTTTTTTCTTTTGGGGGTTGGAATTATATGTTTTACTTCTTAAATAACAAATTTTTCTCCATTTTGTTTAACTGAACCAATGAATAAAAATGTAGGAGGAGTTTGATTTTTTTATTGGCTAATAGCAGTTTTTTTCGTGAGGGGTTGAGACTTATATTTTTTAAAGTTTGATATTTTCTCTATTTTGTTCTATTGAACACATGAATAAAAAATTGCTTTTATTAAGAGGGAGGAGTTTAAATTTTAATTTAATTGGTCTTAAACATCAATTTTATTTTTTGGGGGTTGGGACTAAATTTTATCTTTTTTAAATATTATTATTTTCACCATTTTGTTCTATTGAAGCCACAAATAAGAAATGTTTTTCTTTAAGAAGGAGGAGTTTTAATTTTATTTTAATTGGTCTAGAACATCCATTTTTTCTTTTGGGGGTTGGAATTATAAATTTAAATATAATTTTTTTCTTCATTTTGTTTAACTCAACCAACAGATAGAAAAAGTGATTTTAAAAATGGGAGGAGTTGGCTGTTTATTATTTTTATTGGTCTAAATCATTCATTTTTTCTTTTCTTTCTATAACACATATGTGACTGTCCACGAGAAAACAGGGCTTAGCTCCCAAACGTGAATTTCACAGGGCGAGCGATTGAAGTACTACGATTGAAGTTAACTACGCTTGAAATACACTTCGCGCGTTTATCCAAATCAGTTCCTTTCGTTCCGCCGTTCAGAATATGATCGTAGTGAATCGTAGTCTGCTACAAGTATCACGCATGTTACCAATACATTGACAGGTCTCACAGTTCGCATATTTATCATTAATAATTGAACAATTTACGATTTTATTCAACTTAAATAATGGATAAATCGACTGTAGAATAGATAATTTATTAATTATAAGAGCTTTTTCTAACATTTTTAGTTTTTTTGATGAACTTTTTTCTACTATTTAAAGTCTAACCACCTATGTACATTTATGTTTATCGAATCTGTCAGGAATTTCAAGTAATTATTAATTATTTAGAGATTTATTTATTGCAATAATTGCCAAAAACTATTCTCTAAACATCCATTTTACATATTTAACACTTTTTTTTTGCTATCAAACACCTTCTAAATAGTTTATTTCCACCTTTACCGTATGTCTACTATATGTCTACCATTTGTCCACTTTAAAAGTGGACATATAGTAAATCCAAATCTGGCAGGGTAGGGCAATAATGGAAACTTTATTGACCGCTAGGTTATAAGGGGGAACTCAGTATGCGCCTGTACAGGTAGATTACATCCGTATTTATCAAGACGGCATGAGAGCCGCTTACCCTTATTACTAAAAAGTTTAAATTTTGTTTCCTTAACAAATTTGAGAGTATTAAATTACTTTTACATTTTAATTGTATTAATTGCATTGCGGTTAAATATAAACTTTATATTAAGTAAATTGGTTTAATATTTTTATTTTTAAAGGCTACAGTTTTGGCGTCAAATATTTCAACTAAAAATGATCGTTCCTGTTTGAAAGCTGTTAAAAGCCTTGCAATGTTATTGCAAAAGAAAAATAAAATTGAAATGGCATATACACATAATGAAGATATTCTTCTTTATGCAATCGCAGAAACTGACTTTCCAGAAAGATTCAGAATTAAAACTGTAAGCTTGTGGTTGGATAATAGCAAAATCGATAGAGATTTGAATGTATTGATAAAAAAATGTCTGCTCGAAGGTTATACCGAATTAAAAATTGTTAAACTTCTAGTGGTAAAAATATTGATTTCATATTTTATTTATTTGGTACTTTATACTTAATCCCAGTAAAAAAGGATTGGAGCTCTCTGGGCTTTATGTCTAACATCAATAAGAAGAAAACTTCTTTTTTCTTTTAACGTAAAATGATTATTATTTGTCAAATGCATTCAGAGCGTATATTTAATTATAATTATAATTATCTGAAAAACCTTTTTAATAAAACTCCCAATTATATTATTTGTGTTTGAACCAATAAATTTTTATTAATTAACTTGCAAACCAGACGACACATTCAGTTTAAAGGGTTAACGCATAGACCATGCAACCCAATCCGTGATTTTCACGATTACGCATTGGTTGTATGCAATGCCAATTTGAGTAACACTTAGAGTTCCACTACCTTTTTAGCTGTGATTATATTCACTGTGTTTTAAGTTTTGACATATATTTTTTATTCTTCTACACAGGCCATAATTCATGAAAATGATGTAAAAGATCTGAATACAGTATTAAATGCATATGTGTCACTCTTACATTCAGAAAACGTCATTCCAGATAATGTGATTGAATTTGTTTGGAAAACACTGGCAGATAATTTACCGCATTATTCGTCAAATAATGGTAAGTTATAATATTATATAAAATGAACTTAAATTAAAACTTTTTAAAATATCTACACCTCACTTTGCTGATTTTCTACTATAAGTTTACCACTTATTTCAACCCGCGTATTCTTTGACGAATCAGAGAATTTAAATTGTCGTTTTTAGCCTCAACCTAAAGTTAAAGTATCAAGTTGCGATTCTGACATTGAAACCAATTTTTTTTAAATAGTTGAATGTATTAAATAAACGAAATTCATAGTGGTCACGAAATTAGAGTCATATGATGATAGACACTTTCCCAGGCGCGAAGTGACGCCGAGTTCAGGCTTTATAAAGATTGGCCGAGCATTGGTCAACATTGATTGAGCATGAGTGAATCAGCGAGAGCAGGAATGATCGAAGCTTTAATGTAACACCGATTCCAGACTGCAGCGCGAGCCTTGATTCAGCATTGGACATCAATGCTCAATCAATGCTGCGGACGCCTAACGCAGGACTGAAACAAGACTGCTTCCACTGTTCCCAAATTTACTCGTTTCTCAAGTTTATTCAATATAATGTGAATATATGAATTATTAATAATAATAATAAATATTATTGTTATTATTTTAATTCATGTATGTGTGTATATATACATTTAATGACAATAAGTTATTATTTGTAATAATTATAATATTATTTTCATATAAATAAGAATATATTACTAACAATAAATATCATTTGAATAGTAATTTTAAAAAAATAATTTTAGAAAGACAATTTTTCTGTTAATCGTTACATTTTTTTCTTGATTTTTCGCTCGCATGTGGGATCGAAACTCACGCACCCCGCCCCCCTAACGCATACCGGAAGTTCTCAACGCACGCATTTAAACCGCTCGGTCACAGAAGGCTGGAAGGCTTCTCGCCTAATCTACTATATCAATGCCAGTGCCGTCACTCAATATTTGTTAGAATAATGGCTCTGAAAAAAGCGCGTCAGGAAGTGAACACGAGGCGAATTCTTATATAAAACGCTGATTTATTTTTAATCAACAATTTGGCTCCAATCCATACACAAAATCATCACATATTAAAGTAAAAAAAAGAGATTAATTCAATTTCCAACATCCTGCCCGGTCGAGCCGATAAGCTCGAAATTAGTTAGTAAAGGACACAAGCGTTGAACTGCTCTGGTATAGGTTCCATGTGCTGTCCTAATTGTAGCATTGCGTACAAGACCGTCCTTGCCAGGATAAATTGTTTCCACTCTCCCAAGCCGCCATTGAGTAGGTGGAAGGTTCTCATGACGAACGAGAACCACATCTCCGACCTGTAGATTGGTGATACGATTTTTCCACTTGCCCCGTAATTGTAAGGTTGCCAGATATTCATCGTGCCAACGCTTCCAAAATTGCTGTTGCAGTTGTCTCAGCCATTGCCATTGTTTTAGATGATTTACAGGGAGATTCGTGACATCAGGTTCTGGAACTGCAAGGAGTGGTCTGCCAATAAGAAAGTCGCCGGGACTTAATGCGATTCTGTCTTCCGGATCATCGGTCAAGGGAGTGATTGGGCGAGAATTAAGACAGGCTTCAATTCGCGCCGCTAGGGTTTGCCACTGCTCAAAGCGGAGTACCTGATTTCCAATAAGTTTTATTAAATGTTTCTTGGCAGATTTCACCGCCGCTTCCCACAAGCCACCCTGGTGTGGTGAACCAGGTGAGATAAACTGCCAAGTTGTTCCAAGATTCGCCAATTTTTGTTGATTCTGCTCAGACTGCCATTGCGCTAAATCCTCCTGAAGTATGCGGTTAGCACCGACGAATGTGGTAGCGTTATCACTAAATAACTTGCGCGGAATACCTCTTCGACTAGTAAAGCGAGTGAATGCGTCCAGAAAGGCTTGCGATGACAGATCCAAGACGACCTCGATGTGGGTCGCTTTGGTTGTCATGCAAACAAAAATTGCCAGGTACTCTCTAAATCTGAATATGTGAAATTTCACTTATTGTACGTTATAAGTCGTCCTCTCGATCAATAAGTGCATATACACTTATAAATAAGTGAATTTTTCACTTATTCTGAGTGAAATTTCACTTATTACCAGTGTATATGCACTTATTGATCGAGAAGACGACTTATAACGTACAAATATGTGAATTTTCACATATTCAGATTTAGAGAGTAAGTTTTGCTCGTAATCTTGGATCGCGGACCACCCACGCGTAATGTAAACGGTCCACAGTAATCGAGTCCTGATGCGAAAAAGGGCTGGAGCTGCGATCCATCCTCACCCACTCGAACTCCTGGAAGTGGGGCCATTTGTTGAGTGATTGTTTGACCTCGAAATCGTCGACAAATTATACACTGATTAATACACCTTTTTGCTGCTTGACGAGCTTGTAAAATCCAGTATCGTGAACGTAGATTTTGAAGCATAAGTTGTGCTCCACCATGCAATGTGTCAATGTGGGATTGTTGAATGAGAAGTTTAGCCAATAATCCGTCCTTTGGAAGAATGATCGGGAATCTGCTGCCGACTGGAAGCGAGGCGTTGCGAATTCTACCACCAAGGCGTAAAATTCTTGTATCATCCACATACGGATTAAGCGAAGCCAATCGACTAGTAGAGGGAAGAGGAAGATTTTTTCGTAAGGCATTAAGTTCCACACTGAATGCCTGGCTCTGTTCAACTCGAATCAAATGATCCAATGCCGTATCCAATTCTCTTGCGCTGATAATCGACTGATGTAAAAGATGTTTTCGGGATGGGCTCCAACGCCGCACCAATGCCATTGTTCCCAAAAGGCGTCGTAAATTACTGAATCGTGTGATGAGTGGAATTAGCTCTCCGTCCAATTGACGAGTCGTGATTGATAGGGTGTGTGAATGTGTGACTGCCATCAGCACAGAAATCCTTTCCTCTTCTTGAACATCGATAAGATCGGACACAGAAGGTTGTGTAGATTCTTCTTGCTCCAGAAAACCACTGTTCAGCCACTGAGGACCTTGCCACCATAATTTATGTTTCAGGAGATCTGTTGCTTTCAGTCCTCGGCTGGCGCAGTCTGCTGGGTTCTCAGTTGTGCGAACATGATGCCACTGTGATGGAGTTGTCAATGACTGTATTTGCCGTACTCTATTAGCGACATACGGCTTGAGTTGGGAAGGCTGCTTATTCAGCCAACAAAGAACAATCCTAGAATCGGACCATAAAAAGCAAGATGTATCCTGTATGCGCAAAGATGTACGCACGTTGTCCCAAGTTGATGCCAATAGCTGAGCTGCGCAGAGTTCTAATCGTGGAATAGTTGCTCCCTTCTTTGGAGCCACTTTCGTTTTTGCTGTTAACAATCCAATTTTGACTTGTCCATTTTCGTCAACAGTGCGAGTGTAAATCACTGCTGCGTAAGCGCGAGTACTAGCGTCACAAAAACCATAAAACATAGTTTGTTCTGTTTCTTCCATTCCCACCCACCTTGGAACACGCAGATGTTGTAGTTCAGAAAGTCCATTGCAAAAAATGTTCCACTCCTTTGCCAAATCTTCTGGAAGGGGAGTGTCCCAATCAATACCCGATAACCACAAGCTCTGGATGAAGATTTTTGCAGTGATAATGACAGGTGCCACCAATCCTGTTGGATCGAATAATCGCGCTATTGCACTGAGGACACGTCGTTTCGTTGGTTGATCGTTGCACTGTGGAAAGTCTATACTGTAGAGAAGCTCATCCGTTACAGGATCCCAGAGTAAGCCAAGAACTGAAGTGCAAACACTGTTGACTGTCAAAGGCACAGGTGATGCAGCTTCTCCAGTGATTTGTTCAATTACCGCAGGGTCATTGGAATTCCACTTGCGCAGATTCAATTGTCCAACAGAAAGAATCGTTGACACATCTTTAGACAACTGTACGGCAAGTGTCGTCGTTCTGGCACTGGTCAGGAAGTCGTCTACATAAAATGAATCGAGAATAGCTTGTCTAGCAATTTCTGCCCGGATGGGATCAGCCACTTGATGAAAGTTGTCATTTGCACATTGATTCAAAGCACGCACTGCTAAGTAGGGACTACTGGCCATTCCGTATGTCACGGTTTTCAGACGATAGATTCCAATTGGTTCCTCGGGAGACTCTCGCCAAACGATGCGTTGAAAATCTCGATGCTCAGGTGTTATAAGTGTTTGCCTAAACATTTTCTCGATGTCTGCGTTGAGTGCGATTCTGTAGCGTCGAAATCGAAAAATGATGTTTAGAAGCGACTCCTGGAGCGTTGGTCCAACAAGCTGAATATCATTGAGGGATACGCCAGTTGTAGTTCGCGCGGAAGCGTTGAATACCACTCGAAATTTAACTGTCACAGCATGATGTGGGATATAATAACAATTTTCATGATCTCCAGGTTGATCACAGGGTTCCATATGATCCAAGGCCAAATACTCCCTCATAAAGGACAGATAATTTGCACGAAACTCCTCATCAGTCGTCATGCGTCGTTCCATTGAATAAAATTGTCGTAAAGCTTGCCGATAAGATCCTCCCAAGGCCAAGGCATCACTGCGGAAAGGAATGTTGACACAGTACCTTCCATTTGAAGTTCGTTTGAAAGTAGTTGAGAATAAAAGCTCGCAATCATTATCGTTGACGTGGTTTCCCTCAGGTACCTCCTCCAATTTCCAAAAGGCTTGAAGCAAGTCACTTAGATTGTCATCATCCTCTTTGACATAAACATTGAAAGTTTTTTGAGTACTATGATTCGCTGAGATTTGTGAAGTGGGACCAAATACCACCCAACCAAATTTAGTTCGTTGAGCAAAGGGTTCCTCATTCGATTTTCCTCGGATTAAATCGGCCTCGACAATGAGACCCCACGAATCTGCTCCGAGAAGGATGTCAATACCACTAGGTATTCCAAAATTTGGATCAGCCAGGTTTAAATTCGTAAGGTGTTTCCATTGCTTGCAATTGACGCGCAGAGTCGGAGTAATTGACGTTATTGTCGGAATAACTAAAGCAATCAAAGTCATTGAAAAATCGTGATGAGTAGAATGAAGTTGCACACTTACAAGACCCTTTGTCCGCGTGTTTACAGAAGCACCAACACCTTCCACTTCCACTTCGCACCGTGTCCTTCGTAGGTGTAGAGAATTTGCCAAACGTTCTGTTATCAAACTGATCTGCGAACCAGGATCACATAAAACTCTCGCTACATGTTGTTCCAAATTATCACTTGTTGCCATCACGATCGCTGTTGCCAATAAAACCATTGAAGAATTCTGAATAGTCATTGTCTTCACAGTCTGTTGTTGTCAAGATCTTGGAGGGCCCCTCGAAACAGCTTGTGCAAAACCTTGGCCTTCTGGTAATGACAAATTGCTCTCTGCCTGTTTATTGCCGTCTGTAATCATGGGCGATTGCGAATCCCTACAAAACATAGTATGATGTCTCTTACCACACACTCGACATCCTCCAGATCCACAATCCCTGGAGGAGTGACCCGGTTTAAGACAATTAAAGCAGAGATTGGAATTCTTGAGCTCGCTGAACCTCTGACTGGGTGACATTGTTGATAGTTTTGAGCATCGGGTAATCCTATGTGGTCCGTGACAATAGGGACAACCGAGTTCATCCTTTACCACTAAATTTGTCCTCACCAAACGCTGCCCGGGTTGTCCTGTTTGTCTCTGTTGCGCTGAATTTTGAGGGGCAACCGGTCGTTTTATTCCCTGTACTGCCTGGGAAGATAGACTATGTGCTCTTTTCTCCAAGAATTTAAGTAAGTCCTGTAATTTTGGAATTTCATTTGACGAACATGCCATTCCCCACTCGCGTTGCGTCAAAGAAGGTAATTTCGAAATTACTATCGGAACTGTTAATGCATCCCACTGATCTACCGGAAGTTCCATTACACGAAGCGCTCGCAATGATTCTTGCACTGTATCCACAACTAATAATAGTGCTTTCGAAGTTTCCTCACTAACCATCTTCATGTTTAAAAATCTCGAAACATGAATTTCCGCCAACTGTTTCGGACTGTCATAACGATCACATATTGCCTTCCACACTTCCGCGTAACCCCCTGTATATAAACCACCAATAAGCGGCACTGTCTCGACACTCACTGTTTGACGAAGTTTGCCAAGTTTGTATGCCTCGGGGTAGTCCACATTATGCACTAATGTCGTAAATGCATCCTTAAAGGCTAGCCAATTGTGAAGTGAACCGTCAAATTTGGGTATCACTAGTGGATCCAATTTTAAATCAACTCGAGGATGCTCTGCTTGCACTTCCGGTGTAGGGTTAGTTGCATTCCTTGCAAGTAATCGACGAATCGCTGCTTTCGCACTGATAAAGTGAGCCTCTGATTGTTCAAAGAATTGTTCGTGAGCTACTATCGCCGCTTCGTCTGTAGAAATTGACACTAAGTGTGTGTGCGCTGTCCTGAAATTATTCCAATGTTGTTCGATAGCTGGGAGCAATTCTTCCAACTCAAACCTGTCAAGTTCAAATTCTTCCTCGGTAACACGCTCGAAAAAACGTCGCAATCCACGTCGCGCGGTTTCGCGAATGTTAAGTTCAGCCATAATTTCCAAAAAGTCAAAATTAACCGAAAGCAAAATTATTTGAATAAATTGTCTGTTTGAAAGCGAATAATAATAAGCGAATTGTAATAATAATAATGATAGTCGCGCGCACGTACACTCTCCTCAGCTGTCGAGTAGTTCGGAAACCGAAGTGCGACGGAAACTCCCGAAATCTCCACGACTTTACAACACAAAAACGTTCGAAAATTCTAACCTCGAAAAAAATAGGACGCCGTACTAAATACGTCGTGCATACACAAAATGAGGAAATACACTTCTCCTATCCAAGTTGTCAAAACAAAGAAAGTGAGATCCAATGCCAGTAGTCCACCTTCAATTTACAGGCGCCACTCACAACCGAAACACTGCTGTATTCAAAGCTCCACTGAAACATCCGCGCGCGTCCACAGGCAAAAGTTCAAGTGCAAAATTCACGAAATTCGAGTTTTCACTGTCCTAAACGCACCACAAGTCACAAAAGGTCTTGTGAAGTCAAAATACCTCACAGGTGGCACCAAAATGTTAGAATAATGGCTCTGAAAAAAGCGCGTCAGGAAGTGAACACGAGGCGAATTCTTATATAAAACGCTGATTTATTTTTAATCAACAATTTGGCTCCAATCCATACACAAAATCATCACATATTAAAGTAAAAAAAAGAGATTAAACACGAAAGAAGTCCGAGTCCATAAAGTTCACATTTTCCACTTAAAATTGAATTAAAACATTGTTAGACCATAAACCACCATGAGAGCAAACAAAAAAAAACTGAGCTCCCCCTACACTGCGAGGAACACACAATCTCCGTAAACGACCGAATACTTTCGAAGTCCACCGAGTTCCAAATCGCGGGTAATTCAATTTCCAACAATATTGGTTCAGCATGGGACACCAATGTTCGTCCCATGCTCGATTCAAGACTCGGTCAATCTTGTTACAATATTCAGTTTCTTTATTGCCGTGTGCACTGTACAATATTAAATATAAATATTTATAAATTATTTAATATTAAAATATTTTTTCTGATAATTTTATAAGTTAAATTATATATTATTTTTTTTCTCGCACAGTGTCAAATTATTATTTTCAAAGTTCAAGAGTTTCGTTTATCTGTAAAATTTTCAGTGACAAAAATGTTCATTAGGTAGTAGTAAATATTTATGCCTAGTTGTTTTACACTAGGATTAACTGTTTACTGAATATTATCAAAAATATATTTTTCGTCAAACGCGCGCGACTAAACACAAATAACCTTGAGACGTTGCGATTGTCGTGCTCCCACCATCCCATCTACTCAATGCTTTCCCCTCATGACGTCACAGGCGGGGAGTGTATTGAGTAGATGGGATGGTGGGAGCACGACAATCGCAACGTCACGCTGTAAAGTCTCAAGGTTATTTGTGTTTAGTCGCGCGCGTTTGACGAAAAATATATTTTTGATAATATTCAGTAAACAGTTAATCCTAGTGTAAAACTACTAGGCATAAATATTTACTACTACCTAATGAGCATTTTTTTCACTGAAAATTTTTCAGATAAACAAAACTCTTGAACTTTGAAATAATAATTTGACTCTGTGCAAGAAAAAAAATAATATATAATAATTTAACATTATTGATATGAATCTTATGTAATTAATATAAATATTATACACTAAATAAATATTAATATTTATTTACCAATTGATATCTTAATAACAATAATAATAATACTTATTATATTATTTAATAATAATTAATAATAATAATTTTTAAATAGTATAAAAAATTACTAAAAATTATCAGAAATAATATTTTAATATTAAATAATTTATAAATATTTATATCTAATATTGGTAAGTGCACACGGTAATAAATAAACTATCAAGATTGATTCAAGATTGAATAAAGACTGGATGTTGAAGCTCCACTCACGAAGATTGACCGAGTCTTGAATCGAGCATGGGACGAACATTGGTGTCCCATGCTGAACCAATATTGAGTGACAATGATATAAAGACTGCTTCAACTCTGGGTTACCCACGCTGGGCGTTCAAGACTCAGTCAAGTTTCAACCCATCGTCAGCACTGGTCTTTCGCGCCTGGGTTTCGTCAAAATTCGTCAAACTTTTTAAAGATTTTTTTCTGCAAATTTCCCTTAAAATAATTATTAATCTGTTAGAAACAAGTATTATTTCGTTACTTTTTCAATTACGGAACTCCAACCAAACATAAATTCCACTATAAGGTTATGTTTGATAAAAAAAAACTTTTTAAAAACTAAGCAAAATCTAGAATCCGCATTTGAACTATTCTGAGCAGTGCAGTTTACATCTTCTTGACCAGATGTTTTGTTTTCTTTGAGGTCCTTAAGTGAAACAAAACAATAAGGGTACAGGAATGTTGCTGAAGCTGTCTGCTGTCCATTTATGATGAGCAGCAATTTAAAATTCTTTTCAAATTTTTGCTATAACAACTGCCTTTTTTCTTATTGTCACATTCAAATACGAATTTATCTTTTTTATAAATGTCTTTCAGAAGTTTCGATTGTTCTGACATGTGTTTTAAGCAATTAACCGGTACTGATTTTCACCCAATTTTTGCTCTTCAAAAGTTAGTAATGCTTTTCATTTTATTACTGGATACGCAAAGATTCACTCGCAAATTATCCAAACGCTCTTCACTTACTGCTCTCTAAATATGAATCAGTGGAATTCCACTGAAAATCAGTGAAATTTGACTGAGCATCAGTGACTCTATTCTCGCGATTTAAATCAGTGGAATTTCACTGAAAATCAGTAAAAAATAACTTAAATTTCAGTCATTTTCCACTGATTCGTCAATTAAAAAACTACTGAAAATTTCTTTCACACATATATTGAAAATTTCAGTTATTTTTTAATTGGCCAATCAGTGAAAAATGACTGAAATTTCAATCATTTTTAACTGATCTTCAGTGAAATTTCACTGATTCAAATCGCGAGAATAGTCACTGATTGTCAGTCAAATTTCACTGATTCAGTTTTAGAGAGTGAAATAGTTTTTTTTCATCGAGATTCACTGCAACTTTCATTTTTGAGCCCATCGTACATAACTCGATTTCTCTATTCTTAATATATGACGATTTAGATTGTCTTTAGAATCGATTTTTGTTCTAATAATACTATAGACGCAATTTTTTCTTGTGTTAACTCAAGAAAATCTTCAAGCATATATTAAAGATGTTGCTTTGAACATTCTTGGATGTTTCTTACCCCCAAGCAAAAATTGACAACTGGCGCAGTATTGCGCAAGTACTTTACTGCCCAGTACTGGCGGAGTACTGGCCGCCATGGCTGAACCAGTACTGGCATTTGACCGAAATGATAACGCTTTTCAGTACTGGTTTGATGTTACTGGCGCAGTACTGGTTCAGTACTGGTTTAGTACCCGTGTAGAAAAATCTTTTGGCGCTGGCCTGAATCAGACCAGACCGACTATTTTCCAATCTAGTGAAAAATTTATTTAAATTCAATGTTAATATAATAAAAAAAATTAATTTATTTTTGCTAACATGTAATAATCCTCAACTTTTAACTTTTAATCAAATTAATGTTCACAAAGCAGAATAAACGAAAACCTGTAACGAAATAAAATTTGACACTGCGAGGAATCGAACCTACGACCTACGGACTTCTAGCCTAACACTCTAACCACTATCCTATCGAAGCTACAGGAAAATAAATT